AATTGAATATAATGCATATTAAATGGCATGTTTTAATATTAAAATATTACAAAGACCGTACAAAACATTCTATTTAAAATAGTTCCTACTAGTTATATTTATTCGAGATAACATTTATTATAAAAAAATAAAGTTTGTTTTTTATTTGTGGAAATATCTTTTTATATCAAGTTTGAAATTTGTCCAGCATATTATATGCAAATCTATTTGGCGAACAGCTGGCGTATGAACGTAGTGTCAGTTGGCTCAAGTTGCCCCACCTGACACTCACACCTCGTCCTTGGGCGGCAAATTTTACTTTGGCTTTCACTTTGCGTTGCTTTTGGCTCTGATTTAGTCAGCTCAGGTGAATGATATAAACTTAATTGCGGAAATTGGGTTAAAAAAGGCCCTGATGGGGGGAAGAGGGGGAAGGGGGGCTGGCAGAACTTTGACACATGTGCGGGTTAAACAAATTTATGTGCGTCCAAGTGAGTGTGCGAGTGTGCCGTTCATTGACTTGACTTGACTTTACTTTGCCCATTGGCAGGAATAAAAATGGGAGCAAGGCGAAAGTTTTTCGCACACGTCGCAAAGGAAGACCCCCCTTTCTCCTCCCCCTTTTTTGGAGCAAAACCATTCCAGGAACCCTCTACCCCACCCGTTTGTGCCGTTGTAATGCAATTTTATTTCATTTCATTGAAGGCAAAGTTTTCCCTTCGAATTCTTTTACTTAACTTATTCCTTCACTTGCCGCACATTCCCATTCTTTCCTCCCACTTTCCCACTCTCCCACCTTTCCCCTTTTTCCCATTTTCTTGCTTTTCCTGGCAGGGACAAATTTGCCGTTGCCTAACCCACTAAGACGATGTATGCAAATCTTTGATGTAAGTAATAATTTCCTTCCCGTATGTGGGCGAAAGAAAAAAAAAAAGTGTAAAAAATGTATATGTACGAAAAGCCAACGAAATGGCAGATGAAACTTTGCGATTGTAAATTATGAGCGTGTGAATATTGCTTTTAGCATTTGCGAAAGTTCCGGCACTGATTTGCCAAATTCGCCAAACGTCAGCGGATAAATAATGGGTGGCGGTGGGCGCTTCTACAATGTACATATACCCAAGAAAACTCGCAATCTGTCATGGGTACAAAGTGAGCCAAAACAGGGTTTCAGTGGGCTAAATTATTAATGGAAATTTGGGCAATTATATTTGATTTTGTGAGTCCAATTTATAGCCTAAAATGAGGCTAATCTTCCGTGGAAAAATGATTGCTTTGGGAAAATCCTAAGATCTAAGATAGCATTCTATACTTAGTCCCATCGGATTTAATAATAAGAAAACACCTGTGCCTGCCAACACAAATTCTTCTCAATTTATAGAGTCAAGTACAAACTTAAAAAACACTAAATTATTCAAATCGCCACCAGCAAATATAGGACGAACAAAAGATAGATAGAAGTTGTTATACAATTTCCCTTGAAAAGCATAACTTTTCCAGTAGCGCTGTATATCAAATATACCAAGTTCGTCAATGTAAGCAAAGTTATTCACAGCTGCTGTAGATTTCATTAAGAATAGAATGCGTGAAAGTTTTCCCACAAAACGTAAGCAAAGCAACTGCCATGAAATCAACCACTAACTGGTTTATTTCAAAGCTATGGCCAAAGTGCAATTGAAGAGGTAACCAACAGAAAACGAAATTAATTAAAAATCTCGAGAGTGGTTCATTTAAAAGCTCTCAATTGAACTGATTTTAAGTGGTAAATCAGTGTAGATTTATCGAAGAGATCTAGTGAAAAAGTGAAAGATGTGCTCAATAATAGAATACTTACAAATTAAAAAAGATGTAGTTTTATATTAAAGCAATTACTTTGATTTAAAAGCAAGAAAATGTATTTATAATTTTAACAAGTTTTGTAAAAACGTTAGCCTGTTTTAATAAATGTTTTAAAATATGTTTTTGTATATATTTTATATTAAACACACAGCTGAACATAATAAAACAAAACAATGAAACAAAACTTTCTACCAGACCAAAATGCATACAGAAAGTTGAAAAATACGAGCTGACAAAGCGTAAACGATTAATGAATCCAGCTGGTTCAGATTTAGGCCACTTCCGGAATTCTAGCTTTAGGCCAATCGATTTCGCTGGCTTAAAGCCGAGCTGACTGGCTTTAAAATGCAATTTGGAAACTGCGATCCACTCGAATGCGGGTTTGTTCGACTGCTGTTGTCCATCCACCCCCTCTAGTTTATTACCCACCCCCTTCTCCTCCCCACTCCCCTCCCCTATCGCCATTTTTGCCACCAACTATCCCCCACTGACGATACCAAAACCACCATCTGCCCCTTGCCCGTGGACATTTTCGCACTCGCATAACTTTGACAGCATTTTTGCAGAATTACAATTAACTGCCTAGCCTCGAATGGTTATAGGGGTGAGGGTGGTGGTGGGGAGGGGAAGGGAGGGGAGGGCAGGAGCTGCTGGTTAAGGGGGAGAAAAAACCAGGAGAAGCAGTTGCAGTTGCAGCCTAAAAGCACGCAACCACGCCCACAGGCAAACAATTGATGTAAGTGTGTGTGTGTGTGCGGGAAAGTGATGCCGATTTGAAGATTCTCAAAAATATATTTATTCGATTTTAATTTTTATAATTAAAAATGATATGAAATTCAATTTTAAAGGCAATTTTGGTAAAACAACTAAAACGTTGTATCAAATCAATAGCATTTCGTTTGACCTTTTGCATATATAAAATTTCAATGTGATTAATTATACACTTTTTTACCTAACAAACTAGACGAAAGTTGGTTAAGAAGTTCAATGTGCTTTAAAAATAAATACTTTATTTTTTCTACATTTGATTGTGAAAATCCATTTTAAGGACTTAAAGCATTTGAATGTCTCTTTGTTAAATAAATTAAATTGGCTTTCAAACGGAATAAAAATTAATTACATTTCTGGGAAAATCTGATTAAACACATCAGAATTGTCAGCCAAATCCGGGGATCTCTTTGTTGCCCCGTTTTGGCCGCCTTGTTCAGTTCGATTTGTCATGTTTTTGAAATGGGTCGCCGACATCACTGGCTAAATGTGGGCTGTGAGTGTGGGCCCAAGCAAAATGGGTGTGGGGAAATTTGTTCCATTTTACGCTTTCTACACAAAAACAATAAATCGCTCACAGCATCAACAGCGTCAACTTTCCTAATGCAGCGGGTCGCTGCCTGTTATATGTACGCTGTAGGATGTTGGATGTTGGTTGTTGGTTGTTGGCCGTAGGATGCTGAATGCTGGTCCTCATGGCGAACTGGTAGAATGCTAAAATGGTGAAATGGTGAAATGGTGGATGCAACCGGCGAAACCCCACCAGGATGCCAGCAATTGAGGCTGAAGCCATTTTAACTGCCACTTGAATGGTAACTAAAAAAAAGAATGGGTGGGGGCGGGGGTAAAAAAAAAAAAAAACTAAACTAAATATGTATGCATGTATGTGTGTGTGTTTGTGGGGGGAAAACGAGTCTTCGGGGGCTAAAACTGTAAATTGTAATTTTCAACTTTTAAGTGGCTGCTACGTGTGAGGCTTGCGCTCTCGCTCTTACCCACACCATCTGATGATGATGGAAAATAGAAATGAAAATGAGAATGAAAATGAAAATCAAGGGGCAGATCAACTAACCAACGAACCAACCAACCCACCACCTTTCGCCCACTTCAGTGTTGACAAATGGTTGCATTGTTTGGAAAGTCAGTCAGCACTGGATACTAAGAGTGTTGGTAAATGTAATAAGACGAAGAGTTACCAAACAAACAAAAGGTTTACCATCAGGAAATGCAAATGTTGATCAACAATAAACAGAGAGACTGTTTTGTGCAGTTTACGACCTAAACTATCAATTTCCGGTTGAATTAGAAAATTGCAGTTTCCGTTTTTCAACTGTGACGATTTTTCGGCCAAAAAGATCAGTATTTTTGCCATATCAATGAATATAATGGTTCAATATTGGAATTTCATGCCTTGCTGAACTCGTAATTAAATTCCAAATCTATTGGCAAACATAAATATGAATATTTTTGACACTTTTTCAAAAAAAAAAAAACGTGATGTAACCAAAAATATAATGTTTGTCAAAGAGGGATGAGGTTTGTTTAATTAAGTCATCCAAAACTGTTTTTTTTCTTACTCAAAACTTAGTTTATAGAAATATACAACAAAATACTTCTTAAGTGTTCCAATTTGTATATCGAAAATACCTGTTTTTCGGGAAATATCAATTGAATTAAAAACATTTGCCCATGGGTTTGCTTAGGAAAACCTATTCTGCAATAATTCACACACCACGAAGGCATAACTAAAGATCCCTCCGATTTTTCAGTGCTGGCCAGCACATCCCGGCTGAATCGACGCTGATTGAGTGGGTCAGTGGGCGGGATTGGCCAAGTGAAAGTGAAGTAAACGTGATTGAAATTTTATCTCTGACAAGAAATCGAAAGATATATTTAGCTCCAGCTGTGAGCCAGGTCACCGCCCTCACATTTCGCAACTCAGCCGCAATCTCAACGGTCGTACAAAAAACCCGGGAATCTGGATGAGGATGTGGATGTGGATTTGGGCGGGCAATGTGTGTGTTGCCAATTCAATTCTTCAACGGGTTACCCATTGCGTCGTTAACCGTTACGTCGCCATCTTTCTCCACACTATACACCCCCTTTGACACCCCGATTGCCCCGCCGTTATTTGCATTGAAATGTTGAGTAATTGGAAAACCAATCTGAAGCATCTGCAGTCCTTGTTTAGCATACCTCTGGCACCTTCCTAACCGACCTCGCCGACATTTGTCGGGCAACGCTCGATTTTTCAAACCGAAATCAACGTCGCAGTCGCAGAAGAGGGGAGGGGGCGGGGAGGCACAACCCGAATGGGGGCAATGGGCAATACGATGCAAAGGTGCACCGGCGGAAAAACTACCTCACAAATTGGCCAACAAATATGAAATCTATGATAAATAATATTTAATTACCTTGAGTCAATCCAGCAATCAAGCAGTTATCAATACCAATGCTCAAACCACTGAAATAAAGAAGACAATATTTTAAGAATATTTCATTTCGGCTATTTTAAAATATAAATTGCATTCTTACCTCTTTCAGTAGTTTTTTTCTTTGCTCAAAAAGCAAAGATACATGTTTTTGTAAATGTAGTTTTTGTACTAGCAAAACAAAGTTTCAGAACCTTGGAATGTTTAAACTGTTGTGGTCACGTTTTGGCAAGCAGGTTGCTCTGAAATCAGAAAATTGTTAATCTTTAGCAATATGTTATGTTAAGAATTGAATTATTCTATAAAAAGTCTCATTCGGCAGCTAAAAAAAAAAACAATACTTTCAAATTTTTCCATGATTGTTAGACATACCTTATTTTTTTATACCAAACTGTATGCAAATTTAAAAAAAATCTGATCTTGGGACCATAAAACTCCAGGAAAATAAAATATAAAACATACAATTTGATTTCGCTGTCTTTCATTTGCATTTCTTTCTCTGTATCGATGTGATGGGTGGCTGTGCATTGGGTCGACAGGTTGTTTCGCTCGTGGCGCTTCACTTGCTAAAAATAAATTGTTTTTAAATAGCTCGCATCGCTCGGCACGCCCGTCGGGTGTCTGCTACGGATTGAGATACCCCTTATTTACCCTATGACCTGCGTACCACTCGTATTCCAAAGCCAAAGCCAAAGCCAAAGCAAATGCAAAAGCAACAAAGGAAATGAGCATGGGGAGAAACAACAGAAGGCCAACGGCTGACAAAAGCCAGCAATGAACGCGCTTCCGCTGGAAGCTTCCTCCCCGATTCCTGAACCTATTTGTTACCAATTTTGCAGATATATACAGATATATACATATATATCTACAGATAGTACGTACCAGTTTTCTATCTGCTACAATGAACCCTACATTGTTTTTGTCGCGGAAATTGTCTCAATATGGTGTTGAATTATTGAACACGATTTTGGAAATACGCACGCATAACTCACATTTGTTTGCTGCTCCTTGCTATTTTGTTTTTTTTACAAACGAAAGGAAATTGGAATACAATTTACAATTTTACCAAATCAAAAATGCGTGCCTATTAAACAGCATTTAAATAGCAAATCAATTGTCGGCATTCCTAAAAATTAAATTAGGGAATATTTATAAAACAATTTAAAGCTACTGATAGTTGCTTAATGTTTTTTTCCCACTATAAAAAAATATATAAAATATAGCACTTGGCCGGGTAAAGCATTAATATAAACAATATTAAAATAACTATTATAAAAAAAAACCATTTAAAGCTACTGACATTTGTTTAATGTTTTTTTTTTTTCGCACTATAAAAAAATGTATAAAATATACCACCAGGCCGACTGACTGTTTAGCAGGGTTTGCGGGTATAGCAATGGGGTTTTCCATGGGGGTAACTAGTGCCAACCATATCGCACGGCTGTCCAGGAGTCCGGGTGGCCCCACCAACGTTCCCGCCAAGATTGCTCGGAGTTTTCGGAGTGCTCGGTGGCCTTCGCACACTGCGACCGCGGCTTGCACTCCTCACCGGTTGCGGAGTTTGGGGTTGGGACTGGTTCTGAGTCTGGGTTTGATTACCTACCGAATCCTGGCTAAATATGAGTTCATCGAATGGCCTATAGTTGTCCATGGACCTAAAGCCGTGCAGGGAGGTATCCTGATGGCGGGATTCATGGGCACTGGGGTCCGTGATGGTCTCGAATGGCGGCATCGAAAGGTCCTCGATCATGGGCTGGCCAGAGTTATTGCCACCATCGGGTGGCTTGTTAAACACACGCGTCACCGAAGTTGTGGAGCTCTGAACCGTCACCTCCTTGACCACTTCCGAAGGTCCCTTGGCAGTGTCTTTCAGTATGGACGGAGCACTCTCGTCGGCCAGTTGTTTGCCCGCATCTCGTTTGTGCTCCTGTCGCTTCGACTTGCCCTTATGGCTTTCCGTTCGCGTAGAACTCGGCAATCCGGTGGAGTGAAAGAGGCCCGGCTGACTAGTGTCCCCCACTTTGGAACGAGATCTGGAGAAGGAGGGCTCTGTGATGTCCGCCAGGTTCTCGCTGGGCATGGTCAGCTGATGGCGACGCGGTTGATACGAAACGTCCTCAAAGGTGGGCATTGTTTCATCCTCCAGACAACTGGCATTGCCCTTCTCCCAGGGTGCACTTCTGGAGCTCTGCTGCTGTTGCTGCAATGGCGATGGAGATGAGCACGAACAGTTGGTCGACTGATAGGCGGGAGCACTTTCGTTGGCCAACATCTCGGACGGATAGGAAATGTCCGGCGGACGTCGAGCTATTGATTTAGAAACGTTTCGCGATAATGAATCATTGAGCGGCATGGAAACATCCTCCAAGCACTCGTTTGTAAACTGAGGCAAGTGTCTACTGGCCGTTCGACTGCTCGCAGCAAAACTAGGCGCACTCACATCCTCGAGGCATTCGTTGGTGGTCAGAGGCGTCAAGAGTCGGTGGCTACGACCACCAACTCCACTCCCATTATCCTCCACACACTCGCCGTACTGACTTCGATGCGATAGGCCCGAGGGCATGCTTATGTCCTCCAGGCGAACGCTGTCCATGGCACTTTGGCCGCGTCGTGATGACCCAGAGACGCCGCCCAACGTGGGCATTGTCATGTCCTCCAGGCACTCATTCGTCATCGACATTTGCGCCAGCCTGGGACTTCTACCCCGTGACGCTGGCCAGCCAACGCAGTCAGTATTATTTTGAGACATCAAGATCCTTTGTCTTCGACTCGTTCCCTCGGATGTGCCGCTTACGAAGGACGGTGCACTCACGTCGTTCAGGCACTCACTTGGCATCACAATTTGCCTTCTGGGTGAAGCAAATACCTCCCCATATGATGGCATGGTCATATCATTCAAGCATTCATCGGTCATCATTTCCTGTTTGGGTCTTTGTCTGGGTGTGAGGCTTCTTTCGGTATTTCTCCTAAACGAAGGCATTGAAATGTCCCCAAGACATTCATCAGGAGCAGTTCCAAAAGATGGCATGGTCATGTCATCCAAGCATTCATTGGTCATCATGCCTTGCATGGGTGTGGGGCATCTTCTTCGGGACGATCCTGTATTTTCGCCAACAGAAGCACCAAACGATGGCATGGTCATGTCATCCAAACATTCATTGGTCATCATTGGTGTGGGGCATCTTCTTCTGGACGATCCTGTATTTTCGGCAACAGAAGTACCAAACGATGGCATGGTCATGTCATCCAAACATTCATTGGTCATCATTCCTTGCCTAGATACATGCGTAGGTGTGGGACATCTTCTTCGGGAAGATCCTGTATTTTCGCCAACAGAAGCACCAAACGATGGCATGGTCATGTCATCCAAACATTCATTGGTCATCAATCCTTGCCTAGACAATTGCATAGGTGTGGGGCATCTTCTTCTGGACGATCCTGTATTTTCGGCAACAGAAGTACCAAACGAAGGCATGGTCATGTCATCCAAGCATTCATTGGTCATCATGTGTTGCCTAGACATTTGCTTGGGTGTGGGGCATCTTCTTCTGGACGATCCTCTGCTTTCGCCAAAAGAAGGCATTGAAATGTCCTCAAGACACTCATTTGTAGCTGGACTACGACTTGAAGTGCCAAACGAGGGCATTGTCACATCATCCAAGCATTCCGCGCTCATCTGTTGGGATCTTTGCAATGGCGTAAGACTCTTAACTCTGGACAGTCTTGAATTTCCAACATAGGAAGGCATTGAAATGTCCTCAAGACATTCATTAGTTACAAGTCCACGTCTAGAACTGCCAAACGATGGCATGGTCATGTCATCTAAGCACTCGTTGCTCAGCACTATTCGTCTTGAGCTTTGCATGGGTGTGGGACACCTTCCTCTGGACGATCCTGTATGTTCGTCGTATTGAGGCATGGAGATGTCCTCAAGACACTCATTTGTAGCTGGACTACGACTTGAAGTGCCGAACGAGGGCATTGTCACGTCCGCCAGACATTCATTGGTCATCGCTCCATGTCTTGACCTTTGCACTGACGTCGAGCTTTTTGCCCTAAAGCTCTGCGTATTTTCCGCACACGAAGGCATCGAAATGTCCTCAATGCATTCATTGGTATCAAATCCACGACCAGATCTGATACTTTGAGCCTTTCTGCGGGAAGACCTTCCACTCGGAGATTGCGAGACAACTCCAAACGATGGCATTGTCTGATCATCCAAGCATTCGTTTGTAGTGTATCCTCGGCCAGAGCTGGCAAATGTGGGTGCGGAAATGTCTTGAATATGTCTGGACGGCATCGTTCTTTGTCGTGCACTCTTCGATCTGGATACGCCAGATACTCCTCCATACGAGGGCATAGATACATCCTCTAGGCATTCATTAGTCCTCATGACGGATGGCACGGATGCTTTTTGACGTCGTGAGGTACTTTTCCTCCGCGAAGAACCTGATATTCCACCAAACGAAGGCATTGTCACATCCTCTAGACATTTATTGGAGACTTGACTTTTGCTTAGGTTCTTCCTATTTCGGGGACTCCGTCCAACCGATTTACTTCTTCCCTGGGCAGGTCTACTCACGTCTTCCAAGCACTCACCTCTCCGGGAAACTGCCGAAATGTCGCCAAAGGTGGGCATGCTTACGTTGTCCAGGCACTCGTTGGGCAAACCAGTGATTTGTCTCCTGGATGCATCAGAATTAACTCCAAAGGACGGTGCAGTCATGTCCTCCAAACACTCGCTGGGCATGGTCAACTGTCGGCGTGTGGAGGTCACCGAAACACCACCGAATGATGGCATCGAAATGTCCTCCAAGCACTCGTTCGTCTGCGGACATCTGGTAGAGCTGGCACATGGGTTCTGGGATGGCAACGTTCTTTGTCTTCTACTGGATGCCCGCGAAATGCTCCTTCCAAAAGACGGCGGAGCACTTACATCGTTCAGACACTCGCTCGGCAGGTCCATACGCCTTCGTGATGAAGAAGATGTTCCACAAAGGGAGGGCATGGTCATGTCGTCTAAACACTCGTTGGTCATCAAACGACCTCTTGAACTTGGATCACACAGTGATCTCTGTTGGCGCTTTGGACTTCTGCCTCTGGAAGCAGACGACACTCCGCCAAACGAGGGCATCGATATGTCCTCCAAGCATTCGTTGGTCGTATTGCCTCGTCCCGAACTTGCAAATGACGGTGCCGATATGTCGCCAATATTTTGAGAAGGCATTGTCATCTGCCTTCGCCTGGCACTCTTTCTCCTCGATGCTCCCGGTGTTCCTGCGAACGATGGCATCGATATGTCCTCCAAGCACTCACTTGTACCTCCATATTTGGTGGAGCTCAGAAACGAAGGGGCTGATGTGTCGCAAATATTCTGCTGTCGACTTGATCCTCGAGAACCACTTCTTCTGCCAAAGGAGGGTTCACTGACGTCATTAAGGCACTCACTGGGCAGCGACATTTGCCTTCTGGTGGCACTGGAGACTCCACCAAAGGAAGGCATGGTCATGTCATCCAGACACTCGCTGTTACGTTGTCTTCTCGATGTCCTTTCACTGTAAGCCTGCGGTGGCATGACAATTTCCTCCAGACATTCATTGGTCATGGGATCTCTTTTGAAGCTAACATATATGGGTTCAGAGATGTCGTTAATGTTTTGCATTGACATCGATCTTCTCGGTTGGCGGTGACTTGTGTGTGATGACAGGCGTGATATTCTTCCTAGCGATGGCATGGTCATGTCATCCAAGCATTCATTGGTAGTGGTTTGACCTCGTCGCGAACTAGCGAATGTTGGAGCCGAGATATCGCTTATGTTTCGCGTGTGCCTGGATCTCTGCGTTTGCCTGGGACTTCGACTTCGACTGCGACTTCGGCTCCTGGAAACTTGCGAGACCCCCTGAAATGACGGCATTGATATGTCCTCCAGGCATTCATTGGTGGTTCGAACCTTGGTCGAGTTGGCAAACGAGGGCGCCGATATGTCGCACAGATTCTGTGAGGGCATCGATACCAGACGCTGCCTTCTGGGACTAAGTCTTCGAGATCTACTCCGTTCGAATGAAGGCTGGCTCACATCCTCAAGGCATTCGCTTGGCATCGTCTGCTGTCTTCGTGATCCCTCCGAGATATACGACATATACGGCATGGTCTCGTTCTCCAAACATGAACGATACGAATTCGTACCGAGTGTTTCAAAAGCGGGCATTGTCTCGTTATCCAAAATGTCCAGGCATTCATTTGGCAGCGATGCCTCGTGATAGGAGGGCATTGACTCATCCATCAGGTTCTCAGATCGGTTGGCCAACGAGAAGTTGAGACGACGTCCCGGTTCTGCGCCTAAACCATTGGGGGTGCAATCCAGCGATGAGGTATTCGAAACAGTCGTCTCGTCAATGTGGCTGGTGATGTGGCCACTTGGATCGCGATGGGTGTATGTCCTGCGTCGCGTTGTCTGTGTGATAAGTCTATCATTAAAATAAAAACCTAAAAAAACATTTAACTTAAATTACCTGTTGGCGGAGTTGATTCGGCCGATTTATTTGCTCTCTAATACTCCTAAAGCGATCCAGAATCTCACCATACACATCGTCCGCGTGGCTCAGTGTCCCATTGGTGGGCATGGTCTTGGAATCATCGCACATACTCGGAGCGGAGACATCGGCCAGAAACTCTCCCCGTAAATCGGACATCTGTGACGGCATGCTTAGATCGAATCCCGGTGCGGACATGTCCGCCAGGCACTCATCCGGCAAATTGCTCAGGTTGATTCTCGTGTCATACGGCTGACGACGTGGCTGAGCCTGGCGAAAGGTTTCCATGGCTGCCGCATCCGTTTCATCTGTGATTAGAATGATTTCACTTGGCAAACATTGCAAAAGCACCGAAAACAAGTTTAAAAGATTAAGTAAACATCTAGGAGAAGGAGATATCTCCGACCCTAAAAAATATATTTTATGCCCAATTTTTGGATTTTTGATAAGGGGGTACATCATCATTTTTTACAGAAATTTGAAAATCTAAAAAATTTTAACTGTGAATGCCATTCGATTGGAATGCCATTCAATTAAATTTATGAAATATATACTATACCTATATATCACACAATAAAATATCATTAAATTAATAAGTTTTAGAAAATAAATATAAAAAAAGTATTTCAAACTGCAATTATTCTCATTATTTCTTTACTTTACCAAATGACAATTGAATTTTGTCGACTATTTTGGTTTCATAATAAATTTGTTGTTAAAATTCAAAAACTCACAGGTCATGTCGCGGAACATCCGTGGATGGCGCCATTCCTCGTTGGTCGTCAGCCCGAAGTCACTTGGATCGTATCGGTGTGTCCGACCACGAAATCCCGGTCGCAAATGCTCCGGAGTGCTAGCCAGATCGGGACACCGTGCCATCTGTATGTTCCTGCTACTTCTTAAAAAAACAAATACTCCTTTAAGATCAAATCAAATGAAAGGCACATGATTCAGTCACCTATTGATGCACTCCACAGACCCATTTGGACCGATTTGCCTCCTGTCGCTGCTACGAAAATCCACAATTTAACACAAGACACGCCAATTACAAGTGCAACTCACCTCATCCTTCTGCTACTTCTGCTACCCGATGCTAGTCAATGTGGCTCGGCATTCAGCCTGGTTTGGAATATCTAGTTCCGAATCGGAGGGAAAGTGTGTGAGATGTGTCGTCTGGGTCTGAAAATGTAGAAAATTGTGGGAAAATCAATAGACCAGTAGGTCAGTGGCTGCTCCGATTCGTCGATGCCATCCCATTTCCATTTCCATTTCCACTTCCACTTCCATTCGCACTTTTTTGCACCCAGACAGACTGGCAAAGTGTGTCAAGCATCCGTGACTCTATTTCTTATCCAATTAAACAATTATGGAGATCTCATTAACGCAGGTTGTTTGAGAAGCGCAGAGAGGGGCTTGTTTTTTGTTTTTGTTTTTTTTTCTTTTTTTTTTCCTTTACTTGACTTGACAACCACTTCCGTTGGCTCTTTCCTTTTCTTTTTGGATAAGGCAAAGCAAAGCAGATGCAATTAGCGGGCACATAGTTTTTCATCCGGATCTCCTTGGGCTTCATTGAGTTTTGATAGAGGGGGAGTGGGGATGGGGATGGAGAGGCTATCCATCGAGGACAGCAGATAGAACGCAAGGTGTTCGCGCAAAGTCGTCACACGAAACCGCTTTCATTTCCGCCAAACACAATTGCATCATTAGCGATGCAATCTCCGTTACTTAACGTAACCGCAACATGCCGGAAATGAAATCCGAGTCAAGCTGGTGATGCTTCTGCTGCTGCTGCTGCTGCTTCTGCTGCTGCTACTACTACTGCTACTGCTCCGCTCGCTAAACTTTCGACACGGTGAACGACTCGACAAGTGCGGCAGGCCAGGAATGCAGGGAATGCCGGGGAAAGCCGGGAAACCTGGCAAAAAGCTGGGAAAGCCGTCGCCGGATAAAGAGGACGCTGCTCGTCGTCCGCCGCCAAGCACAAGGAAATATGACGTCGCCGTGTGGCATACGAATCGTCAAAGGGGATTGCGATAAGAATGAAGGACCCTTTTGCCAAACGGAAAGCAAACGGAATGATGCTGCTGCGCTGAAATAATCGAATATAGCCAGGTCCTGCGGTGCGCTACCATTTCAGTTTGCGTTTGCGTTTGGGTTTGGATTTGGGTTTCGGTTTGAGTTTGGGTTTGTGGCCAGCGATTACGCCGAGCCGCTTCACTTGGCTGGGGGTTGAAGTTTAATGGAACCGGAGCTGAAGACATGGAGTTGAAACAGGTCCTGCGGCGTCAGCCACCTCCAAATATTTGACTTGCGCTCGGAAAAACCCAAACATGCGAGGGCTATTTCATCACTAGTTAAGACTGCAAAACCAGTGGAAAATATGGCTCAGAAAATTCCAAAGTTTTATTTGTTTATTTATCCTTAAGCTTTCAAAACACCTAAACAATGTATGGCAGTTCATCAATTTGATTTCATATTAGTTTGCTTGAATTAAATATTTAATATTTTATAGATATTTAATGAACATGTTGCCTCCTTTAAGTTGAAACCAATTTTTTATAACAGGGCGGCGTTAACTGCTCTGCAGTTTTGTTGCTTAATAACTTTCGAAAACATTCATGCAGAAAAACTTGTTATATACCAAAAGTAAAAAGGTAAACACAAATCTGTTTTGCCGTTTTTTAATAATTTGCAAAACAGGAACAAAAAAGAGCAAGTAAGGTGTCATATGACATATGTCATATGTCAACTGTGTCAACAAAATTATATTTTTATTAAAATGAGTAGCAAAACAATTTAATATTTCACTTTCACCGCCCTTTTCTCCTGAAAGAAATGGAAGAAAATTGAACTGAAAAAAGATTTAAAACAGCTATGTACTGAATATCTTCTATGTCGCCACTCGGGTGGAATTTGCGAGGGTGCAGTGAATGCAGCTAGCAATCAACTGCCGCTCCAGCAGCCGCGTATTTGCATACGCCCCATGTCCTGCCACCTGTCCCTCCTGTTCCCTTCTGTTCATCTTGTCCATCCTGTCCCACTCAACTGACAAAACGCAGGGCGAAGCTACCGTGCTGTCACTTTTCGCACCGCTTTGTCCCGCATTAATGCGCATATTAAAATGGACGCAGGCGAAGGCATGCAAAACTAATGCCAGTCGCTGGCTCGGCCATAAGCCCAGAAACTTGATATTCATATGAGGTGGGAGTGCACAGAAGAAAAAATATGCACCTACAACTAAACAACAACAAATATTCGCTTGCAATTATTAATTATACATATGTTATCTTTCAGTAATCCAATTTTATCCTAAATATAATTAAAAATATTAGAACTACGATTGTAGATCTGGTAACTAAACGAATAAATGAACCCCAAAAAGAATTATTTTGTAGCAAATGAACCGATTTCTATTAATGTAAGTATCAAAACTAAAGCAACAAAAACAACATAATAGCTTACTTGAATAAATACTATATGTAAATATATATAAGTATATAGCTAATACAAGAATATACAATATATAATCAAATAGAATGCACTTGTAAAATAAACAAACATATTGAAATCAAAAAATTAAATCAAAATAATTAAAGAATCAATGCTAATCAGGAATAATAATGAAATACTATCAAAAACCAAATGCTATTAGCCTATGGTTATATAAGAATTCCTCTTAATTACTGAATTTGTGAAAAATAATGTATGGAAATAACAAATAACTAAAAATATTGTAGATAGCAACTTTCCATAAAAAAAAAACAAATCATTGAACCATCCATATTTTCTCTGAGCTTGGTTTTGAACTACCAAAAGCAGGAGTAGGAGCTGCACAAAAGGATTGCTGGCGACTGCCTCAAGGCTACAGACGGCTTTTCTCCCCCAAAGTTCGGGGAACGTTTAGCTAGCTTACTTTCCAATTTGTTGGCCAAGACGGTGGATGGGGTTTGAAAGAATTCAGGGTAGGGAATGTGGATGGGAATGGGAATGGGGATGGGGCTTTGGCAGATGTGCTTAACGGTTTGAGAGCACGGACCCATCATAATGCAATGGAACGGCACCCACATTAGGGACTTGGGTGGACTGACTTGGGTGGGGCGAAAATGGCCACACACGCGGTCATATGGGAAGCGATTAGCGCGAGTTTATCAAGGGCTCCTTGCCTGCTTTCTCCTTGCTCCTCGCTCCTTTCTTCTTTCTCCGTTCGGCCCCATTGAAACCGCAAAGCCACAAGCACCGCAGCTTCATCAAAGCAACATTATGTGTGCATACTATATACATATATATATGCACAAACAGCAGGCAGTGGCTATTTAGCCATTATCAAAGCAAAAGGCCACTTGTTCTACTCGCTGGCAATCAGGAAATAACACCGAATCAATAACTGCCAAGTCTGGGATTCAACAAACACACAATTACTCTTTGACAGCGAAAAGGGAAGGGGTTGAAGTACCAAGTGGGTAATTTTCAAGGGGACAAAATTAATTCCCTGTATTTCAAGCAAAGTGGGAAATATAAAAGAACCAGGAATATACTCGAAAAAAACATAGAAAACAATTCAATTAAATCCCTATGTTAATATTGGGACAAGTGGCGCCACGCAGCGCTAAAATGGAGAAACACAGCGCTTAAGCTTTTTATTCGAACTTTGAGAACTTTAAAACTAACATTATTCGTTTATAATTTCGCAACAGTTCATTTTTTCATATGTTAAGGTTTTTAAATATATGATGTGGTAAGTAAAAGTAAGTAAAAAAGTAAGTAAATTCCCAGTAGTTTGAACTGTCTAGTATATTACATTTTAATAGAATTTTATGACAGTGTGTTTTAGGTAATTTAAAAATTTTTAACTGCGCTTATCTTTTTTTATTGTCTTGACATAACTTTGAGCAAAGTATCTTCTTCAAAAAAGACTTTATTTTAATTTATTTCTAGTTTATGTTTAAAAATCAAAAACTTTAAAGTTTACATAAATACAAGAAACAGATGTATGCATTTTGTTTTGTAAATAAGCTTTTTAAAACACATTTGTAAATTTAAAATAGAATAAATTTAAACAATAAAAATAGTGTTTATTTTATTAAAAATGAAAATCTTCCACGAACTGCAAATAAAGATTATTTATAAAATCATAATTGAAAAAATAAATCGCCATATTGATCCTCTTCGGTCAGTCTATGCATTTCCCACTTGATTTTTAAATTTTAAATTTGTATGATATTCCTTAAAAATAACAAAATTTAAAAAGCAATCATTATTTTGTGACTTTCAAAATAAAACTGCAGCTTTTAAAGCTCTGTAGGTTGATTTGTGTATTTCATAGTTATTTTTTTCACTTCCCAATATGTCGACGAAAGGTGGGCTTCACTGTGTCAGCCAACATGATTGTTCTGTGGGATCAGAAATGATTCATTGTGCATGGCCAGAGCTTAGGGTAAACTTTGAATACCCGCCCCGAAACAAATTGTAAAAGTGGGGACAGTCGTCCACTTACGTGGAATTCGCTGGAGGTGGCTCGTCGCCATCCCTCGTCGGATCGGTTGTCTAGGCAACTCTTCGGGGAACTCTGGCCAAAACATTGAACTCACTGCCCCGTTGCCCGTGACGACTACCTGTCGCAGTCAGCTGTCCGCCGGTGGCAGGTAAATAAACAAGAACTTTTGTCGCCCTGAAAACACTTGCAGCGCACACACAACACACAACACAGAGCACAGAACACACAACACAGAACACAAAACACAAAACATTGTAAAAAGATTCGCGAGACAAACAAAGACCGCTCGAAATGGCCGTGTGTTAGATGGGTTTGCTGTGCGCCAAGCTGCGCGGCTGCTGTTGGCGAGCATCCTGGCCAGCGGAGATGGAGGAATTCCAGGTGCTGATCCTGGGCCCCGCGGCCAGTGGCAAAACGGAGCTGGGCCATCGCCTGAGCAGATCTCCAAGAGCCTCGGACGACCAGGAGGCCACCAATGGAGTGCGTTGCTATCGTCTTTCGTTGCCGGACCATGCGGTCGAACTGCAACTGACCGAAGTGGGTGGCAATGCGGAGATGCAGCGCCTGTGGCAGCACTACCATGCCACCTCGCATGCCCTTATATACTGCTTCGATCTGGGTGCGGATCCGGTGGAGCTGCAGGCCACATTTACGTTGCTAAGCGATTGCCTACTTGGCACCCAGCTGGCCGGCAAACCAGTGCTCCTGGTGGCCTCCCGCCACCGCGACGGTGTCCAGCTGTACGACGTGGAGTATGCCTTCGCTCTGGAGGAGCTGGCCCAGTCCTGCGGATGTCCTCTGCTCATCTGTCACATGGACGATGCCGACGATCTGCAGCGGGGACTGCGATGGCTCGTCCATCAGCTGCTGGCCAGGAAATCGCAGCTGGAGCAGCGCATTCGATACGATGTCAATATGCAGGTGAGGCCATAACTCATCAGTGATGGGATACACACTCCGAGCACTCGCAAATCGTTAGGAAATACCCTGAATTAAAAATAATCTCAGACTTTTGGTTCATCTAAATACGATCATAATCATTGCATTACCTATTTGTAATAATTGTTGCTTACAAAAATTAGTTAACTATAAATCTCTAAAATGTTCCCTTGTTTTAAAACACCTAAGAGTTTATCTTATATATCGATTTTGTATATTTGTTAAGCTTATAGTAACTATTTATTTTTATAATAAGGTTCCTATTGAACTTCTCAATTGATTTTTAGACAAACAATCAGAAATTATATAATCTAAAATATAATATTCATTGAACAGGAACATAAAGTATAATTACTTGTAAAAATTGTGACTAGAATGCTAGAGATAACTTTGCATCATTAATTTTTCTAAATATTAATTAATTAATATACGTTAATCCATAGGTTTGGCAGCGTCGAAAGCGATCGCTTTTATCCAGCGGTAAATTAGCTCAAGTTCATGGACAGCGTTTTCGGCGGCAGGTCAGAAAGGTGAGTTCCCTACTTGCAAATTGAGAAACTGATTCATTTCTTATATTTTATTCAATATAGATAATGCCGGCAATACAAGGATTCGGAGGCACGACGATGCGTCCCAGAACAGCTCCGCCGAATATATTTGTTGTGAATTCGCAACTGGAGGAAAGTCACACAGTTTAGCAAAAGTGATCGAGAGCGCATTTAAAGTGCCAAAAACCATTGTAGTGTTTACCAGAGGCTACTTTTGCCATACTTAGACTTTAAGCCATTAATCAAGTTTAATAACTGTGACAAAGCTAAGTCTAATTAAATGTGAATTTTTTTTGTTAGCAGTAAAATGCCTGATTTTTTTCCTACCATCTAAGCGAGTTTTACAAGGTATGACATTTCGAATTTGATTTAAAAACATTAATTTCTCATATTTTTTGTAAGAGGTTATCGTACATCCTGTTTTAGAGAAAATTTTAGAATTACATTTTTCTAGAAGTGAACGCCAACAGATTTAAAATTCAATGGCGAGTTCAACAAGGTATTCCTAATGTTCAAGCATTATTTCCTAGGACTTTTATAAATATTTATTTAAAGATATTTTAAAGAGTTTTTTTTTGTTTTACCTTTGTCCAAATTCTTTAGATTTCCTTTGGTATACTTTAAGCCTCATTTGTTTGTTCAACAATTTTAAGTGCTTAAAAGCGACCTTTAATGTTGTAACTTTATAGTTTTTTTAAGCTGTCCATAACAATTAGTTGTATCGAAGTTCGCAATTTACACATCCATGTGAAACACAAAACTCACAATTTCAATGACAGAAATAAGCAATAATTGTGAATTCCAGCACCACAAATTCGAGTTGGGCACATTTGTCATTGAATAATGCAACATAACTACACATGCCACGAGTTGGAGTGTGTGTGTGTGTGTGTGTTTGTTTGCAGGCACTGTTTGCCTGTCAGTTCGCATCGAACAGAAGTTAATCAATTGGCCTGGTAAGCGAGGAATTATGCATTTCGCACATTTTATGACGAGCCCTCTGGCTCTGTCCGTTGTCAGCTTTAATTAACAATTACAAGTTGGCCCAAGTGGACTGGCTTAGGAGTCTGCCATTGTGTGGCGTTTTAAATTACATTTCTTCAAGGCCTTGGCTAATTACAGTAATGGTCATAATAATAGCACTAAGAATGCCTAGGAATTTTCTTTTTACTTATTGGCACATTGTTTTTAGCTTTCAAAGCAATGTTTTGGACTAGGACATTTACTTTTGTAATTTTGTTATTATTTTATGCAATATATTGTTGCTTTTTTAAAGCAATTATTGAGTGCCATACTTCTAAAGTAAATAACCGATTTAAAATTTAACATTTTTTAAAGGCTTTGTCTAATTACATAAAAATATCACTAAGAATGGCGAGGAATTTTCTTTTTGATTGTTAGCCCATGGTTTTTTGTTTGCATTTTTTTATGCAAAATATTGTTGCTTTTTTAAAGAAATTATTGAGTGCAATTCTTGTGAAGTAAATAACCGATTTAAAGTTTAACGGGCTTAGATATTTAGGCTCTTAAATGCACAAAGTAAATCTTCTCGAATTATATGTGCCATTATTTAGACCGCAGCTGTACCAAAGTAAGTATGCAAAAAGGCATCGTTTTCGAACAGATTCTGGCCAGACATCCTGATGGGATATGGACGTGGTCGTGGTTGTGGATGAGGATGAGGAGTGGGTGGTGGGTGGTGGGTAGAATGTCAGCCAGTCGATGATGTATTGCCAAACACCAATAAGCAAACCACAAGGAGGAATACACACACACACACACACACACACTGGGTATCGAGGAGGCGGGTGAAATCAAACAATTACCAATACACTGACATCGATTCCCAGTCGCCGGCGAGGGGATGATGAGGGGTATGCAGGATGCAGGATTCAGGATTGAGGATTGAGGATTCAGGACTCGAAACGGTGGCATGGTGGGATGGGAAAAGCAGCGGAGAGATGGTGACATTGATGATTGCGGCTCGTCGGCGTCTGGAGACGCCGGAACGTGTGCTTGTAATAATCCCCCGACGCACAACTTCGGCAGAAACTATAGCACTTGTTCATCGGAATTTGTTCTGTTCGATATAAAATTAATACATTGGCGAATTATGATTATTGGAACCTTGGCGGAATTTGTTTTCCAAGAATAATTGAAACCTATGATTGTCCATATTAATAAGCATTTTGTATCGAATTAACACAACTGAAACCGCAGAAATCTGCAATTTGTTTTAAAAAGAATACCGTAAATAATAATAATAATAATAATTATCTTTGAATTAAAAATCTGATTTGAGATTTTTTTTGTGCACTAGTAACGAAGAAATACTTAAGATCTCCTATAAATGTGACCGCTGCTGTTGCACCACCCACTGCTGCAGTTTACCCAAACTCCCAGGACCACACACACACACACACACATAGACACACACCAACGCAAACGCACATGGACAAGGAAACCCATACCAGCTCACTTTACCTCACCGCACCCAAACACCCAAACAAACATGTGTCGCCGTGTGTTGTAGCGAAAAGTGTAAAATAAGCATCAATCATCGCTTATTCGAGTTGTCATCAATCACACACACGCTGCACACACACACACTCTTGAAGGATACGCTGCGGTGACACCAACGGCAACAACAACAGCACCAAAAACAGGAACAACTGAAAGAGGATAGCCCACACCGTTATCCTAGGTGGTTAGTTTTTGAGACCGAGGCATATGGATCTGCAAATTTGCAACCCCCACACCACCAGTGATGCTTATATCCTGACAGTTGCGTTTACAACCCATAGCTAGTCATTTATTTCTAGCACTTTTAACGAGGATCTACGGCCAGGATCATAAGAATCAGTTGTGTCAAGGGTGATAGTTAAGGTTGACAAAAGAATCTTCTACAAATTCATTTAAAATTTGTATTTATTCTTGAGCTCGGATTTTTAATTCGTGGTGGGACTGAAATTTTTTGAAATATAAAACATAATATATAAATTCAGAAATTAAATACATACTAACATTCAATTATAATATGCAATCGAACATTTTCATTAATTTATTTCAAGGTAAAACAAATTTTTCATTTAGCAAAATATTTGAAAATATAAAAAAAATTTCAAAGGAAATTGTAGAATCCCTAGGTCTGAATAGAGAACATAGTGCTTACTCTTCTTTTATTGTACTGTATATTGTATATAATTATCTATTCTAGAATTCGGTAAGCACCGAAAAGTGTTTATTAAAAGAACTGCATAAATGGAAATGCTTTTAATATTAATAAATTTGCTCACAAATCTCGGAATTGTTATATTTAATAAAGGGAATTTTTGCAAAGTTTTCTGAATATCTAATATTCCCTAGAAGTGCCGTGCATCTGGCTAAAATAAAAGTCGCACTTTTCCCAGCACTGTTAGCCTCCGGCAGCCGTTCGCGATATCCTTCCGGTCATTGTCCTCCGAGAGGCATTCCTAATCCGGTTCGCAGGGCGAGTTATTAAATCATCAGGTTGCACGATCGCGCCTGTCACATGTCTGTCAACAGTCATCTGTCGACGGCGCTCGAAAACGCGTAACCAAATATCCGAATATCCAAATACCAAAATACCCAAGCACCCTCATCAAGGGTTATTCTCGACTGCTGCGTGCGCCAAGGCGTAAAATAAAGATTTAATCGGCATTTATGGACATTTTGCAGACTTTTTACGATTATGCGTTCGTATGACGGCAGGCAAACGAGTTGTCAAACAAGCCCAAAAGGAGTTACTTCCCTTCCCTTGAGGGAGTGAACGACGATAGCGCGAAGTGGATTGCCTAAAGAGTAAATTAATCTGCAGGACTTGTCCCAAACTTGTTCATCAACTCGATATCTGTCAGCACTCCACGGACGGTTGGCGATTGCAGATTGGAGTTTGATTGGGGGGGAGGACGCACTGCGAAATAAATCGATTTCAAATAAAGTCTTGAATGAAATCTGCCAAAAGGGATTCAAAATACCAACATTAACAAGAAGGAAATAATAACATCAAGAGAAAAAGACATCGTAATGAACGAATAATCATTGTTTTCTACAATCCTATAAATCTTTTATTTATTTAATGATATTTTCAACTGTTTGTTCGGTAAGGCTCTGTTAAAATGATTCAACCAATATCTTTAAGACAAGTCAACACATTGTTTTATGAAATATTCAATTTGAATATTTTTGTAACCAAATTTGTTTCGCTCAGTGCAGCGGGCACTTCCTGGTCAGCGGAAAACAATTGCCCCGGTCAATGGGAGCGGGTTTCAATTTCATTTCGGGCCAACAATGGTGTTATGCTAAAACGGATCCGGCTCTAATGTTTTTACGTAACCGCCCCGCCGGCGAACAAACTCCGGCCCTCTCGTATATAATCGAATAAAGTCACGCCGCTTTAACATTTGCGGTCAGCACGTGAGGCTGGGGTAAAGTGGACAATTGGAAAGTTGGACAACTGGACAATTGGACAATTGGACAACAGGACAGATGGACAGATGGACAAGTGGGCATTTGGGCAATTGGGAAGATGGAAAGATGGGAAGATGGACAGGTGAAGGTAAACCATCGGGTGACCCGATATACGGTATATACGATATATATATGATATATACGCCACGCTCATTGTGTGTGCGCCAAACAAAGTTGCGGCAAAAAGGCTGCAGGACATGTGCACGAAATTAATTTCCAGGGCAGCCGGATGAAGGACGCGAAGAAAAGGAGCAGCAGCGCTCTTTTTAATCCAACATGATATCGCCCACAAAATGCAAAGCGGCCGAGGTCGCTCACGGTACAGTTTAACCTCTACAACCGAACTCAGACCAAAAAAAAACTGAATAACAATAGCAATAACAATAGTCCAAAATATGTAACTATATTTTAATATTTTTACAAGGATGTAAAATAGATTATATACAAAAAACAATTAATTTGATTTCTTTATAGGAATCTGAAAAAAATCTTGTGGCTACAGTTTTGAATCCATA